TGCCGCTGCGCACTTATAACAATAAATTTTGTCGTTCACCTCACCGAATTATTTTTATTACTGAATCTGCTACTGCTATGATCAAAAAACATATATTAGGCTGTAAAGAAAGTTCTGCCAATTCTTCTTTGACTACCAAAATTAAAAGCGAGTGCAAGGGCTGGTATGGGATGTGTTCTGTGATGGCCCCAGCTACCGAATACCCTTTACCTTGAAAAAATAACAATAAATAAGAAGAAAAAAAGGAGAAAAATCAGTTGCGCTGAAGTCTGCGAAAAGGCAAATTTTTCATACTACGGGGTGCGTCAAAAGTCGGGGAGCCTAACTTGCAGCACTGCATTTGCAAGGATACTGATGGCTTTGATTCAAATTTTATGCCACATGATGCTGCAGTCATCCTATACAAAGCACTTCACATAACTAAATGGCTGCCAGATGTTTTGTAAGATTGGAAATTGACGAACTAATACTTTTGCAGGGCTAAAAAAGGCAGAATTTTTAGTATTCGCAATCTTTGTTATAGCTAGAGATGCTGTTAATAATCTACAACACTTCGATGCACACAATTTAGAAGAGACTTGCGCTACTGAATCGTAGTTTTGCTTTTGCCAGGAGCTGTTCTTGCATAAACGGAATATAAAAGTCTGCGAATTTTACCTACGTGCCAGTGGCCATCCGTCTTCGGAACAAATTTGAAAGCTATAGCAGGGCAACAGGCACTGAGACCAAGACTATATTCTTGCACGTCTTCTGAATAAGAATCTATTGAAATTCGGTCAAAAGAACACTTTTTATACTTTTTAAATGAATTTTCCGCTTTCCTTGTAGCCAAATTTCCGGTATGCGACGTAGGCATGCTTCTAATTGCTAATCCAATATTTTTACTCCTAAGCAATGCAAAAAATTCTTTTGGAAGTGTGTTGTAGACAAAAGCTTGCTCTATAATGCTGCACATTTGTCAATGTAAAATAAGCCGTTTTTGTGAAGGCGTGGCAAATTTCATTACGACTAAGTGCGAGGGATGACAGGTGGACTCGCCGAGATTTTGTAGAACCGCGTGAAAGCCAAAGAGGCGATTCCGAAATTCAAGAACTGAGCTGTATTCGTAATGATCCGAATTATGTATACGCCAAATTTTCCGTTTTGGTACTTCCTTTCTCATTTTGTATGAAAAAGTGCTAACAAGGGAAGTCACTTAACTTAGGTCGTGCTTTTGAAATGAGACACATATGGTTGGAATCAGCTTGAAACGCTGATTTTAAATCTGCTTTCCTTAGCTGCGAAGCATTCCTCTGAAGCGAGTTATGAGCTTTTTCCTGAGCAAATTTTGCGTGTTGACCGACTTAGGCATGCCACGGTATCATCATCTAGGTAAAAAGTGGTTCAAATGCATATTATACCCTATCAAAGCCAAATGACTCAATTTGATGTTAATTTGATTTTCCACCACTTTTTGGGCAGATTTTCATCTAAAGACCTTCTTTCCATATTCAGTTGTATGTCAATGACACATACTAAAAAAACTCATAACTCGCTTCAGAGAAACGCTTCGCAGCTAGGGATAGCATATTTGGAATCAGCGTTCTGAGCTGATTCTAAATATATGTGTCTCATTCGAAAAGCCCGACCTAAGTTAAGTGACTTCCCTTGTAAGCTCCCAGACTTTTGACGCACCCTGTATAAACGTGCAGAACTTGCAGAAGCTTGATTTGAAAATTTGTTCGATAACCTTCGCATTGCTTAGACGAAGCAATATCCGACTTGTAATTGCTCCGGTGTCTGGGCCTTTTTCCAAGCGAGAAATATGTCATCAAATTTAGGGTTCAAAAACTTGAACTCTCCACCTGTTTCGAACCAAAGCCAGGCTGCCTCTTGGAGAAAACAACATGATATACCTAATTAGTAGTCTAAGGATGTCAGTACAAACGACCAAAATATCCTTGATTGGCAACCACTCATGATGCTCAACCTGTATTGGCAGAACTTCCTTTACAACCTAACATAACAATCTGTCAAAGTAGATGTTGTGAAAGCGTATAAGTGGATAGACGCTTATATCTTGCAGGCATGTTCTAACTGCGGACGGCCAAGCTCGAAGCATAGAATCGGATTGTGGCAAGGAAGGAAAATGCTCAAATGGGAATTGTGTTCTTGACAGTGAGCAGGGCCCGGCGGGGGTGGCGCTTTCACAAGCTGGATATCGTTTTTGGCCCGAAAAAGCAAAGGGGGCTCCGCCCCGGACCCCAAAATACGACTTCCCCTTTGTTTACCGATAAACAATGCACATGTCATTCTTTATTCATCATTCCTTGTTGATGCTACTGTCCTATGAACTTAGATTCTAGCAATGTGAAGATTCTGTGCTCCGATCGCTAGCCTGCCCGCAGGCGGGAATTCAAATCGCTTAATTCTAATTCTTGTAATTCTTGTAAGAGGAAAATCAAAATAGGCTCGTTTTCAATGCACAAGTAACGATATGGCACCAAATTTGCTGTATAGTTGGAGGACCATGAGCACAAAAAAAAGTATGAAGAAATATGAGAAACTTATGTGAATTTAAAAAATGGTAAGTGTTTTTCGAAATTAGGTGGCTCCTGCGCCACCTGGGAGCAACCTGGGGTGGCTCCCTGCTTCCCTTCACATAATTTCCCGGATTTCTTTACATAAATATGGACTAGGTCGAGAGTATTACTATATGTTCAAATCCGCTTCCAAAACCATGAAGGCACCGCTTCGATACAGCCCCAAACAGGGTTCACAGCGTTATGATCGGCCTCGGAAAGCGCGCTCCAATCGCAGTCGGTTATTGTAAATTGTAAAGTTTCGCAGCTGACTAATAAATAAGTAGTATCTTAGATATATAAACGTCAAAGTTTGTGCAAATCTTGATCCTATGTTTTTTTTATTATTCCTTTGCTGATGAACACATTGAGCTGAAACCTTGAAAACATATGTTTTCGGCCTCGGTAGATGGTTTTAAGCTACCCTTCGAAGCAATTCGTGGAATTCTTCTATCGATTTAATGATTTTTGGCACCTTGCAAGGAAAGTGAACACTTACCAGCCGCTAACAAACTGCTTGCACATTTTGGTGTGAACAATGCAGTGAAGTTCATTTCCACTTCAAAATTAGAAGGTGCAGTCACTCCAATAAGCCCTTCCGGGGTAAGCTCGTGCAGGAGGGTAAGGGGGAAGACTGCAGTGCAGTATTGATACTGCAGAAAAGAGGTGGAGAATATGGCCCAAAAGGACGGGAAGTAGAAGGACAAGGTGTGGTTTTTGGCCATCCCCTCAAACGATGACCCGGGCTGGATCAGGAAAGCCAGGTAGTTCTACTATAATAAGCGCTGAAACCGCCCATCTTATTATTTGTTTGTATCTGTTTGTCAGGGACTTACGGGGGTCAAAAATAGGGTCAAAGGGGAAGTCGTAAGAAATTTTGGCTTCAAAGGGGATATCGTTTTCAAAATTAAGCCACCTCCTGCCGGGCCCTGACAGTGAGTTTAGTATTGCACAGTCTACAGAGCTTTCGCACCCTTATAGAATTGATGCACCTTCACTCTCCCAAGCCATGTCTTCGGAAGGTTGATGCCATAAACTTAAATCTCCTATTTTCAGGATGCATCGGCGTGACAAGGTGAGATGTGTAGGGATGGAGAATGCAAGAATGCGTGTTTACTTTATTAGCTTCTTATATCATCAAAAAGAAATTTTTATCAAACAATGGATTGTGTTAGCTAGTGGTGTTCTACTGTTACAAGAATGAAGAATTCGAAGGCATAGAGAGTATATCCAATGACTGTTAAGAATTTTTCTAATTACAATGAATTGTTTCAACGTTATAATTGTGTCGGATATTCAAAATGTCTAGAAACTTTTTGTATCATAGCTTTTCCCTTTTTAAGTCAAATTCGATAATTCACATATGATAACATACATTTAGGCAACCGATACATTTTGTCTGGGTCATGCAGACTGCGGTCCTGATATGGGGAGGGGGGGGGGGCGTATCGTTACGTGCGGGCTGCCAATTGGAAAACGTCGCGCGCGACAGGCTGCCAGTGACCGCACTCGGAGAATTCAGCCAGCATGATCCGCAGCACATAGTTTTTTAGTTTCTCCATCCTTTGTTGAGGTTCACAGACTATTCTTATATTACCCTAATTTCCGGGGTATAAGGCGCACCTTGTATAAGGCGCACCCGCCGCAGCGAACAATAGCGCGAAGACGCTTTTCAATTGATTGCTCACTAAATCTAGAAGGTTGAAGACTCAGTATGTTGTGGTTATTGTTCGCTGCCCATAAATCATGCCTTCAGGTACTTTTTTACTCTTCTTAGAAACTTTTTTTTACTATTCTCAGAATGTATGCATATTTTAATATCGTCTCTACAGGTGAGGAGAAGGTGTTCTCGATGGTGCTCAGATGATTCTTTCTTTTGTTTCCAATGTTACCGGTGCTATATTTATGCTTTCTTTCATTTCCAATAGCGCTCCTGGTACTGAAACTGTGCTTTCCTTCAATGATACTTTTGGTATTTTGTAGGTGCTGTTTTTGTTTTATTCTTGTCATTCTTGAAGAATAAAAGAGAAGGTAGAGATTTGTTCTGAAAAAATCACTACCATTGAGAGGAAAACACCTAAAAACGAGAGCGAAAATGCTGGGTGAAAGAGGTTGCTCCGGCTCAGCGCAACGCGAGCACCATCATACATCAACCGCGCGCAGTGAAAGCTACTGCGCCTTATACCCCGGAAATTAGGGTAGTTTTACTTGATTATTTGAAGTTCTGCCACAAAAGTTGTAAATGAGCTGTTAATGGACAAAAAAGACACAAATTGAAGGAGGTAAAACACTAACAGTATAGAAAAAGCATTGGTAATCTAGTGATATAATCTGAAAAGTTTTCTACACTGCTGCTTCCCCCATGCGGTTACCGTAACGCCGCGTTGCGACGTTTTCCATTTGGCAGCCCGCACGTAACGAGCGCCCCCCCCCCCTGATATGGAGTGCCGAACAAATCGTTGCAGAATCAAGTACGCGCTCTGAACTTCATACATTGTATTTGTTTTCGGTACTGAACCAAAAAACTTTTTACTTGTTTAGAACTCCTGAGCCAATCTGTAATTGTCAACCGCACGAAATCTGTCACCATGGCCAGTGCTATCCAAACTCGCGTAAGTTTCATACTTTTTTGTTCGTCCCAATGCAAGCTGCGTTCAGAGTGTACATCAATTTATTGTGGCAAGGGATCGTACTGTGTTGACGGCAAATGCGTGAACGGTAAGAATTCCCATTACAGTTGTAGCACTGCTACAGAAAGGATAGCAGGCGAACGAGTATAGCATTGCAGGAGTAGGCGTTGATTGTCGTGAAGAAAACTGCCGTGGCGGAACTGTCTGCGTGAACGGAGTTTGTGTATTGGATCCATGTCCGGCAAGGTGAGATAACAATAACAAAATGTCGACATCGAAGAAATGATTTGCCTTCGGTTTTTGCTTGGCATTTTTTGTCAACGACTCATTTATTGTCAACAACTTCTCTGCATACATTACTGTCTGCTCATTATTTGAGAGGATGTTTGTGTGAGGCTATGACAAATGTGAGTGAGGGAGCCAGATCTCAAAGTTTGCCAAACTTTGAATTGAGTCATTCGATTTACCACGTATACGGTGTATTCTTGTTGAGTCAATCCCCCCCTCCCCCCCGCGCTGTTAGGTATAGTTGATTCGTTCACCGCGCGGACTGAACACCACTGCGGAGCACGCGATGCGAAGTAAAACGCTTGCTCCAGTACGAATTCGCCATTGTACAAGTCGTGCTCTCGCGACAGTTCAGCAGCGCCGCGCGTGGTCTGCAACGTCTGAACGGTCCGTGCGGTCGACGAATCGACGGCAGGAGCGCACCAAACCGTGTCTACCGTATACTGCAAAAAGACTCACCAACCTAGTCAGCAGACGTTTTATTCGTTTGGACTAAATTACAGCCAATTTTGTGCTTCTCTCTTAACGCAGCAGAACTAAACTTCCTTACAGTGTGATTGACTGTGACTATCATCAGTGTTAGTGTCCCCTCTACTAAAACACCAAATTATGGTTCTGGATGTTGAGATCTGGGCCGGTAGTAATCCCCCCGACCTGGCGGCGGGTCTCGTCGGCAGATCGCTGGCACCTTTTCCGTGAGGTGGCCAGAAAGTGAAACCCCAAATTTAGGCCGTCCCAGGCCTTATTCCAAAAAATTTTCTTGATAAAGATGCCGCCTCGACACTGTAGAAAACTCCGTAAAAATCTGCGGTTCCAGAACTCCTCCTCTAGTAAAATATCTGGAAGAGCAGGAGGAGCTGCTGGCAACTTCGCGATGTCAGTTGCCGGCAACCTGCCGGCAGCTCGTCGAAATCCGCGAGATGGCAGCTGCCGGCAGGTCAGAGAGCACGAGAAATAGCGTGCTCTTTCGAGAGAGGGAGCTGCCGGCATCTCGACGTGCCTCTACCACGTCGAGGTGGTGGCACCTTTGCCGACGGCGTCTGTGAGATTGCGAAATGCGGCGATATCACACGATTTACGTCAGGCGAAAAAATCAAAAAATTCTACTTTCCATCCAAAAACCTTCACTTTTCTCAATATATGAGTTTTTCTTTTTTAAAACGACGATTTTCTTACGGGGAAAAATCTGGTAATGCCTTAGAACCGTAAGGAACACCATCTTTTTTTGCAATCCCTTCTAAATCTTATTTGCACCGATTTCGCCCCTCTCTCGCTCATATCAATCAGCTGTTCTTTCAGGTCAAAGTCTCTCGCGCAATGTATCGATCTCTCTTACAGGCGGCCATTTACCAGTGCGTTCCTCATGTTGCTGATGCAAAGGGCAAGGACTGACCGAATTGGTCGAGTGGGTAACATGGCAGCACTTGAGGTTAGCACACTTAGGTTCGACCGCGAGCGAGGTAGCAGTTTTGCGGCTGTCTACGTTAGCAAAATTTGATGAGCGAAATAACTGCGTACTAAGATTATAGAAGACTAGCTGGCTTACCCGGCTCCGCCGTATCCGGACCAAACTTGGCACACATACACTTCGGGCCCCGGCGCGTGTCACAGTCCACTTTTCGTTATCGATCGATGTCGATTTTACCGATTTTTATCGATTTTTTTGCAGAGTTCACCTACAGGGCTAGGAGTTGGCACAGGGGGGAAGTGAGCATGGGGATTCCGAATACAATATTAGTTTTCAGAATTATCGGTTACTTTTATTGATTTTATCGATTTTTTGTAAATTTTGACATGCGAGGCTGGGATTTTGCACAGGGGGTAATCGAGCATGCTGATTACGAACACAATATTAGTTTTCAGGATCGTCCATTACTTTTATCGATTTTATCGATTTTTTTGTAAAGTTTGACCTGCGGGGCTGGGAGTTTGCACAGGGGGGTAATCGAGCATGCAGATTACGAATACAATATTACTTTTTGGAATTATCCATTACTTCTATCGATTTTATCGATTTTGCAAAATTTGAGCTAGGGGGATGGAATTTGGCACAGGGGTGTAATCGAGCATGCTGATCACCCCCTTGGGGATGATCAGCATGCTCGATTACCCCCCCCCCCCCCTGTGCCAACTCCCAGCCCCCTAGCTCAAACTTTGCAAAAAAATCGATAAAATCGATAAAAGTAATCGATAATCCCGAAAACCAATATTGTATTCGGAATCCCCATGCTCGATTACCCCCCTGTGCCAACTCCCAGCCCCGTAGGTGAACTCAGCAAAAAAATCGATAAAAATCGATAAAATCGATATCGATCGATGACGAAAAGTAGCCTATGACACCCGCCGGGGCCCGTAGCGTATGTGTGCCAAGTTTGGTCCGGATCGGTTCAGAAATGGAATTTTCTATTCGGAACATACGTACACACATACAGACAGACAGACAGACAGACAGACAGACAGACAGACATACAGACATACATACAAACAGACATTCAGCTTTATATATAAGATTATTAAAACCTACAATCACTCCGCGAGCTGCCGGCGGAGTTGGCATCTTTCCGCGATGTATATCAACTTGCCGGCATCTTTGATGCCACCAGGTAGGGTAGATTACTACCGGCCCTGACAAGACGCATAGCGTTCCAGTCGGTACAAAATCAAATCAGAAAATATCAATATTTTCATTTGTGCAGTTCTTTTTGCTTGATACCAGGCAATCCAATTGCACACCGTGCTTCATTTTTAAGGTTTTTTTTCATAACTTTCTAAAGAGGATTTTGGTGGCCGTAACTGACGTCTGCAACTTCACACATCACTGATTCGCGTATGTAATTTCAGTTGTCCGCTCGATCAGTCGTGTAGACTAGGAGAGTGCCGCATTGTGGAGGGACTACCATGTGTGGCCGAGTGCGTTGGACCGTACAGCCGTATACATGGACGCTGCAGAAGAAATGGCACTGTAGTAAGTTGACATAAGTTTAGTTTCTGCTGTGCGAACAACAGTGCGCTCAAAAAGTGCCGGGCGCAAACTCAAAATGTGCTCACTGACATCTTTTTTTGAGGACGAGTGTTGTCAAACGGCAGAGATATCTTAGCCGTCGAATAAACTAGCCATAGTGTCTTCCGACAGGTCAAAACGCTTTTTTCCTTTAGACTGTGAACGGAAAGTGTGTCAGCTGGGCGAAGCTTGCGAAGGCGGTCAGTGCCAATGAGTGGCCGGTCGTTTCTTGCCCCCCACGCGACTGTGGCCATGCTTTTACCTGCAAGGACACCGGTGTATCGACCTGCTCACTCCTGTGACGACGTTACCACTATAACAGGACAATCCGAGCAAATAGAAGCCAGTCGCCATCGTTAACTCCCAATCTTACAAATTGTATCGTTCTCCTCTATCGCATTGACTTCAGCGGTCACTCTTTGCCTAAATTTGATGTGCTAATAAACTACTGCCTCGAATAAGAAAGACCAACTTGTCACATTAATCAAGAATAGTTCAGTTGGTCGGCAGGGCACGAGGTTAGCAAATGACAAGCTGGAAATCGTTCTCGACGAAAAAGCAAAGGGGAAATCGTTTTTGCGGGGTCCAAAGCGGAGTCCCGAAAAAAACTGGTAGTTCATGCTCTCTGCTTATCTTAACATGTTATGTGCCTCAACAGACAACCACTAGAGTTCGCGCGCGTCAAACCGAGCCGTCGATAATTGCCGCACGCGCGACGTCGCTCAAACGATGCTATTTGTAAATACATGAGTAGCTCTCAATGCATGCATAACTATATGCACGAAATTCCGTAAGCGAACAGATAGGCGCTAGTGCAAACAAGGTATGAAAAATTATGAAAAACTTATGTAAACGGAAGGATTTTTTCCGAAAATTTTGCATAACTGGTGAGTGAAGATGTGAATTCAAATGACTCGTTTGCAACGCACAGATGACGATATGGTATGAAACTTGGTATGTGCATGCACACGGGCAAGCAGGGATTGAATGAGAAGTTTCAGTGAGAAATTGTGTGAGTGGAGGTCTTGGCAAACTTTTTTCTGAAAATTTCCCGCTACAAAAATGGAAAAATGGCTCGTTTTCAACGCAGAGGTGACGAAACTGCGCGGGATTTGGTGTGTATATGCGCAGTAGGACCAAGTAACAAAGTATGAAAATTCATGAAAATTTATATGAATGAAGAGCGTGCCCAACTTTTTTTCCAATTAGGTTGCCATTTGACAACCCAATGGCAGCCTAAGGCTCCCGCCAGAGTGCCGAGGTTATGCCAGCGTTACGCCAGCATTTCGATCGATACACGTGTATTTCGTTAGCCCTCAGCTAGCCCCGCCCCAACGAAATACACGTGTATCGATCGAAATGCTGGCGTAGCGCTGGCATAACTTCGGCACTCTGGCAGGAGCCTAAGGTTGGTGTCGTAGCTGACAAGACCGCTTGATTTGCGGTCTTGTACTTTTGTTTCGTATGCTTTCTCGAACCGTTCACATCTTGAAAACACTGTTTTTTTTTCGTGTGTACCACTCCCACTGAACAAAGGAGGCTGCCAGTTGGCAGCCTCCCGAATACTTACTGTCTGGATTCCGCTCATTTCTCTCTAGTGTTTGTTACGGTTTGCCGGAGAACCCGGCTTGGGAATAAAAATTCAATTCATTCCTGTTCAACAGAAGCAAGGTAAAATACAAATCCACTGAACCCCAGCACATTTTTGGTGCATCGGCTGGGGAAATCCCCGCCAAAAAACAAGTCAAATCTTGCTAAATCTTGTCAAATCAAGATGGAGTTGGTTTTACTGAAAGACCATCTCTTTATCAGCGCCAAGACGCTGAAAAGTTTAACAAATAACTTCAAAGAGTATAAGAAGAAGCCAGTATACCCTACAACAGATGAGGAGGCATGCGAAGAGAGTCAAGCAGACGCAGACTTAATAAACGAAGCGATTCGGCAAATTAGCATCGCAAAAG